TAAATTTAGCCTAGTAACCGCACAGTCCCTCAGAAACTGTGATTATACCAAAGCATGGCCATTAGTTTAGTGGATGGAATGGCAGGAAGAGTACGCACATCTAGACATCTCAGTAGGTGTCTTAAAGTGGAAAAGCAAGTGGAACTTTCTTTCATCTGAGCAAAACCACTTATAATTCAGAGAATGTAAATACCTCCAAGTTCAGAATGCATGAGCAAGAAATTTGACTTTATCAGCTTATTATGAGAAAGGTTTAATAATAAAATAATGTCTTATGGATTTAGAAAATAAAATCCATCAGTCAAATGCTCTCCCACACACAGAATAAAACAAAACCAGAAACAGCTGTAATAGAGGCTTTAAGTGCTACCATTTGAAGTAATCAAAATATTATCCATTTATTAAAAAAAGATTTCCATTTCCTAATGATACCCCTTTGTATTGTCGAGTGATTAGTTCCTTTGGGGAAGCTAGTTGTTAATAAATAAGGTCTCAAGTTAAGGTGTTTGTTCATAAATTATGTGGGAAACTCTGCTTAATTTCCTTTAGTTGTGGTGGAGACCGTAGTTAATATATACTTGGTAAAACAGAATAATGAAAATGCTTATATAAATAAGTAATTACTTCTTTATGACATAAGCTAAAAGATTAATTAATACTTGTGAATACAAAAGTATTTTCAATTCAGCTTTCCTTTTATTCTTACAATGCACATGAGAAGTAAAGCACAGAAATATTTTGGAACTTTTTATATGTAAAAAGGAAAAATTGTTCTTGTCTTCCAACTTAAGTATTTTTCTAGGACATTTCTTCAATTAAAAAATATTTTTCTATGTGTACATAAAGATACTTTTAAAAACTGAGTAGCTTTCTGAATTACACCCCTCTCATCAAGATTCTACATCTCTCTCGTCAAGATGTCTAGTATACATCCTGTGCTTTGTTTTTAAAATATGTGCTGGGCGATTCCGGGAATCTTTAGGATTAATAATCACTACTCTACTCAATGAAACCTCTTCTCTTTTACGGCAGCCACTCTCAAAGTTCTATTATCTGTAAGTGGGTGATTTCTTCATCTGCATTTGTAGTCTTGGTATGTCAGCAGGAATTCCAATCAGTGATTCTAACTCCATATTGGATTTTTCCATGTGGGTGGCCTGTCGAAGCCAAATTTACTTTCAACAATAAATCCATGCAGAGTCTTTAAAAGAGACACACAGTTTAAAAAGCAGAGGTCTGTGGTCAGTGGATATTTCAGTGTTGTTTTGGCCTTCATTTTACATCAGTTTGCTTCTCTTGGTTGTGTTTATAACACCCTCTAAGATTTGGTCTTCATTCTGAGTCTTTAGTAATATGTCACATTTTCTAAATTCAAGTATGTTTTTGAGCATTTTCATTCTACTTCCTATATATTCAGAAAGCTGGGATTATTTTTTCTCCTATATTTTCTGGAAAGATTTTAAGTTTTGATACTGAATGCTGAATTTATCTTTCTGAAAGTGATCAGCATTATTACTAAACAAAATGTCAGAGTTTCCAGACCTTGCAAATGGTTTTAAAATCAAGATCAGTTTACGTGCCTAAAGGCAGTAAGTTTAAATTCTCTCTCCAAATTATGAGCAAAGATTTTGATTGCAGACACAGATTTTCCCTTCATAATATTTATGCTGGCTATTATGACATATGTGTAATTTCAACAAAGCAAAGTTTTGATGAGGAATGTCTATAAAAATATGCAATAATATGAAAAAGAACTTCACTAATAAAATCTTTGTAAAAATTTACCATTTGAACTTTACTCAAATGTAAACTTGTCTACAACTGTGATATTGAAATATGAACCCACTATGTTTTCCAACAAACTTGCAAGCCAAATATTTCCGTTTCTATCCCCCAAAAGCCACAAATACCAAGGTGAGGATTAGCAGGGAGCTCCCTTCTCTGCCTGTCTGTCTAGAATGCACCCTTATGATTTAATAAGCATTTCAAAAACACTTTTTCCATAATGCCTCACATGATTCCATGTCAGACATGATTTTTTATTCCTTTAAAGTATACCACATATAACTTAGTTGTTATGGAAATTATTTTATAGTGCTCCATATTGTAATTATGTAAACATCTAATTTTTCTATCTTGGAAGACATTACTTCCTCTACTATCTAAAGGTCTGTTTCATGCAATAGGTACTCAAACACCAGAGTCACATAATAGATACTCAGATACTCAAGTCACATAATAGATATGCAAATACCCAGGCTAACTGAACCAGTTTCACAAGCACTTAATCTGTGTTTCTTCCAATTTCTTCAATTTGAAACACATGAACCTTTGTCAGTTTCAGTAGTACAATCAATCTTATTAGTGAAACTAACAAGTGGTGAAAGCAATATTTGGTAGAAGAAAGGTCAGGGAGTAGTGATGTGGAAAGGTCTTGCCACTCTTGGCTCACAAACCACAGATCAACTTCACATTTCAACATATCCTCTCTTTTCTATTCCTGCTTGGGCTATTATCACAGCAGCACCAGAAAGCCTTTATATCAATTTCTGACTGCCAAATAGTACTGCCATGCCAAGTATGGAACAGAGTTCTCAGAGATGCTGTCCAATTACCAGCAAGATCAGGACTCATGGGAATCTTTGCCAGTCTTAATCAAGAAATTAAGAGAAAAGACAACTCTGATAGAGAAACAAGTGGAATCAGTTGTTCATGCCGCCAATTTGTTTTTTCTTATTTCTTCCCCACCCCTCCCTTCTCCAACCACTTTCCAATTTGTTTCCCTCTATGAAGATAGAGTCTAAACAGCCTTCCTTCCTTTTTACTTTGGTTTACTTTCTAATAGGTCATAGCATATTAGGGAGGCATTTTAGAATAATAGATTGAGAGATCTGTTTGCAGATCCTGATCTTGAGAATGCAATTAAAGAAAAAATAATAGCATATAATTGCATGATGTCACCATTTAGCAAATATTAACTCATTTAATCCCTATAATATACTTATGTTTGATACTAACATTATCCACATTTTACAGATGAGGGAATTAAAACATAGATTACATTAGGACCTTACCCAGCATGGCAAAACTACCAAGTAGAATACCTCCAAGCAAGACATAGAAGGTCCAATACCTAAATTTTACCTAAGGACATTTTTTATGGACCAGGAAATATCTGACAATATAAGTCTGAAATTCATTCATTCTTTATTTCTCTTCCACCAACATTTAATTCATTAACAAACTGTGTCACTTTTTCAGGGAAGTCTCAGAGTTCAGATTATTAAATGGTTAACACAATCCCACCCCCAGCCTAGGCATGTTCCATTCTTTTTGTTTTCTACCTAGAAGGTATTATCATCTAATCTGCTATTTTGTGGACTTATATATTATATGTTCCATGTTCATCTCAACAGCTCCTTCCATACCTTCCAAAGCCCTGATGGAATATGAGCTCCACAAACAGTTTTATTGTGGTAGTTTTTTGTTTGTTTTTACTACTTTGTTTAGTTCTCTATATTCAGGCCATGGAGCACTGCCTGGTACAGAAAAGATAATAAATATTTGTGGAAGTAGCAAATTATTTAGTTACTCATATTAATTATTGAATAAGCAGCAGAATCTTCTTTCTTTCAAATTTATGTTTGTATAAAGCATTGTTTAGAATTAAGAAAAACAAAAAGTGCACCAAGAGAATTTCTCTCCTAGAGCTGCAAAATTCTGTCTTTTCTTCCTCTGTAATAGCAAAATAATGATATTTTCTTATTTGGAAATAGGGCAAGGGCATCTCAGTTGGAGCCTCTTGCTCTTTTCTTTCATATTGAAACAACCCCACCTTGTGGAATGAAAGGTAAATTTGCCAAAGCCTCAAATACTCGGGCAGCATTTTTGCAACTGCAGATATATAGGGCACTGTGTACTTTTGGCTCATTCAAGTCTCTGTTGATTTCCAAATGTTTCATAACTACCGTGGGTGGAGGTGCTGGAAACACAGGCTGTTTACTGTCCCAGTTGAGCCACTCCCTGAGGTGATGTTCGAGCAGCAAACTATGATTCGCTTTCTTTTTTATTTTTAAGAAATATTCCTTTGCCTCATAGTTCTGCCAGAATATTATTTGTTTTCCTAGAAGAATAAGATACTTTCTCATAAAATGTATGTAAGTTCTAAGGTGGTGTTATAAGGTAACCAAACCGTGCCACAACCAGTAAGATGGACAGTTCTGGATTGATTAAGGCAATCACCGACTATGTCCTGAGATAATTCAGACGCATTGGGAGCTTTTACTAGGAAAAAAAAAATGTTCTGGATTATATGGAACTCGTGGCAGTGAAATTCCAATTTAAGCTAAAAATCTTCTAAGGAAATAGTTATGTGTTCCTCAGTGCTAACAACCTTAGACGTTCCAAGGATAAATTGATTGATAGACTATGGACTATGACAAGTGACACATAAAATATCAGATTTTATATTTAATTGAATAAAACCATTGTGTATTGGTTACTCAAAATTACTTTTGGTTTGAAATAATTTTTCTTCTTTTTAGTAAACATAGAAAAGAGTACACTGGTTTACAAATATTATTGTTTTTAAATCTTAATTTTTAAGTAAATTCTTAAAGAAATCAATTTACTCAAAGTTCCTTAAATAGAAATTATTCTAATTTTATTGTTATCCTCCTATTTGTGTCATACGCAAGTATTTTATATTGTTTAATGTTCATGTGGTTTACATTTTAGACTTTTCCCGTAGTATTTATACTTAATATGTTTTGACACTGTAAGCAGTTTTCATATCTAAGTAATATTCCTTTTATATTATCATAATACATGCAATAATTATTCCATTTTAAAATAATTCCTAATTTCTCCCTACTGTAATCAGAATATGAATTACCACCATTTTATAACTACAATTTTTTAATTATTATACTTTAAGTTCTGGGGTACATGTGCAGAACATGCAGGTTAGTTACATAGGTATACACCTGCCATGGTGGTTTGCTGCACCCGTCAGCCCATCATCTACATTAAATATTTCTCCTAATGCTATCCTTCCCCTAGCCCCCAGCCCCTAACAGGCCCTGGTATGTGATGTTCCCCTCCCTGTGTCCATGTGTTCTCATTGTTCAACTTCCACTTATGAGTGAGAACTATGACTACAATTTTCTTTAGAAAAGTTACTGAATAAAGTCAAAAGAGAGAATAAGAATAAACATCCCATTTAAATTCAATCTCTATGTATGAGAACATCTTGGGAGCACAGGTTAGATTTTTCTCACTAACAATCCAGTTATTTCTTCTCCCTATAAATTCTCTACATGATGTGAGACAGAAAGTTTTTATTTTCCTTGCCATTGCTTATAAGGGCAGTTACAGATAACCCACTCTCCCTCTCCCTCCAGGATGTTAAATAGAAGTAAAATCCCAAGATTAAGTAGTCCAGAGTGGGTTTCCAATACCCACCAAAACCTAGCATGAGTTGCTGTATAATTAGCTCAGACAGTGTATATAAAGCACTTGGAACAGTGCCTGGCATAGAGCAAGAACTCAATAAATGTTAGCTGTTGTTATCACATTTTTACATCTATGTCTATTGAAAGGTAGATCTAGTCTCCTTGGATCCTATATTCATTCTCCAAAGCTCTATAATATTGTTATACGATTTTGGAGCAATAAGAGATTCTGTGAACCAATAACGTCTTCAATACAGTTATGCATAGCTGTGGCTAGAATTAAATCATAGAAATATTGTTTGTGTTTTCCCTTTCCACCCACAGTTAATGAAAACATAAAATAAATTTATTAGTCTTAAACTTCTATAAGCTCCAAATTGTAGAATCAGAAAGCCTACAATTGAATTTTTATATTTCAGGTAAAATTATAAGATATAATCTTAGCACATATCAGCCAAAAATAAAGGATTCCAAAAATCTAAACTAAAATGATTGCCTAAATAAATGCAGATTTAAAATTATTATAAGAGGAGAAGATCATTATTCTTTTCAGTTTCAAAAGAAATAAATTACAAGGTTTTAGTCAGAAAATGGCATTAGTGTAACACTCAGAATTGATAACTCTGTAAGTTTTATTTAATAGGGTTGAACATTGTTAATTTCAGGATGATGGTAGGCACTTCTCCCTGTGGTGAATGAGCAAACAAAGATGGTAAAAAGTCAATCAAGAATTCGGAATCACAACAAGAGTTCTACTAATATACTTTCACAGTACATTTTAGTAATTTTTAAAGCTCTCTTACATTCAACAATAAGTACATACTACTAGACATCCCTATGGAATGTCAATTGTACCATGGCTATGAATTATTTGTAGAAAAGTAGAATGAATGCTGTAATTTTTTAAAAGATATAATTGATTAACAGCTTCACATCTAGTATATTCCAGCAAGCTTGAGAGAGAGGGTTTAAACGTGAAAACACAAATTACGTAATTACTAAATCAACCCCCTCTTGTCACTCATTGAATAGTAATCCCTTCTACATCAGTTTTTGGCATGATTTTAATGACTAAAAATAAAAGTACTATTTCATTTTCAGATTGCAATTTAAGTAGGAATGCAATCATGCCAGAGATTTAATGAAAAAAGGGTTTCTGGTGTATTCTTACATGCAACCTGACCAGAATGTAATGAGACTGCTGTGTCTTATCACAGGTTAAGAGTCCTCACAAGGCTTTCTCAAAGGCATTCCATATCGAACAAGTTCCTCTAAAACAAAATTGTTTTCAGGTAATCTGGCTGAGTGCAGTAATTAAGAGCATGGACTCTGGAACCTGATCGTAGGAATTGAGAAACTATTTCTGTCATTATTCCATTTTGATCCAGTATTGCCTTTAGATTAGGCTGACAGAGCACATGTTCTGGGCCTTATGTCTACAGGGGCCCTCAAATCACAAAAACTGAAATGCAAAGTCTTTTTTCTTCAGCCTCTTGAGAATATGCTTTGAAATTTCATAAATGGAGGGAAGACGTGGAGGAAAGAGGTAAAAGCCAAATTGGGTTTTACAAACCAGATAATCTCTGGCTAACAAGAAATGTGGTCTAGGATAGGTGGAGGCAGGGTGGAGAAATCAAAACTGCTGCCCCTAGGAAAATCAGATGACATATCCTTTATACCAAGGAAACGTGCTTAAAAGTAGATGTCCCAAATCTTAGGCCCAAGTTTCCCAGATAACTACACCACTTCCCATGCTATACCCATCTGATGTAGTTTTGAGTGGTAAACAGAAAGACCTAGAAATCCTAAGACACAAAAGCGAGGTGCTGGAGAGGAAGTCTGCTCACCAGGAGTTTATCCTTGTCAGTTTCTATCCCAGGTGTAGGTGGATCCAGTTACATCCTAAATGCAGCACTGGCCAGGGCCAAACTCCTGGCCTTGCCTCGTCCCAGCAGATTTTTCGCTGTACTTTAAAGCTGCAGAAAGCAAGTATCAATTTGTGTTTGACTTCTTAGTGGTAAGACTGATCCCACGGAAGAGAGCTGCTAATCCCTACATGAAAATATGGGCCAGTCAGAGGGAGCCACATGAATTATAAAATTTAAATATCTCAACACTTCTGACATTTTTGCCAACCAATTATATACATCATTTTCCCTTGTCTTTATGACTGAGACAGTTTAAGCACAGCACTTAAAATCGCCTGAACTATGTCCATATGGTCACTCCTCCCTTTTAAACAGGATTTAACTAAATATAAATGTACATTTTATATGAATATATAGTTCATGTTACGCTGCTATTTTTCTCTTTTTTTTTAGATGCGGAGTTTGAAGGCTACCATTTATATTCTTGCCCTCAGCCACACAAATGTTGGGAGGGAGCCCAGTGTGATCTCAGTCAAGTTACTTACTTCTCTCTTTGCTTCACTTTTCTCATTTGTGGAAAAAGTAGGTTAACAGCAGAACCTATCACATGGTGTGCATGTAAAGAGTATGTGCATTAATATAGGTAAATGCTTGCACAGTGTCTGGAACGTGACAAACATTAGGTACATATTTGTTATATTTATAGGTGTGCTAAGTATTTTGTAGATTTTATCTAATTAAATCCTTATTATTTATTTTGTAGATTTTATCTAATTAAATCCTTATTATTTTATAGGGTAGGTATTGTTATTTTCTCAAATATTCGTAAGTGTTAGAACAGAGTCCCAGACAGGTAATTGTACTCAAAATTACACAAAATGTAATATGCCAAGCTGCAATTTGCTTTGGAATATATGCAGATCCAGATCTGGCTCTGTTTACCACCATGGCAGTATCAGCCTCCTACACTGACAACCCCGTGTCAAATTCTCAGACGGAATGTATTGTCAGTAATTTAATCATCTTAAGTCACTAATTTATAACAATGTCCATTATTTCAGAATCATATATTTAAATTCGTAGCCAATAATTGGTTAATACCTGACACTAGGGAAAAAATCCAATATCCCGTAAGAGTTTTGACTATGCCAGTCATTAGCTATGTATTCTTGGTTAAGCTCATTCATTTTTTTCAAAGTAAATTAAAGCAAAAAGAATACCAATTCTTGTACTTCTCAGCTAGAAGGTTAAAATGAAAATTAATCCAATTAATTATTTTAGGGTATATTTTATGCAAGCTACAGGAATATGTATTATTAAAGTATAAATTAAATAAGGAAATTATTGACCCTTGTACAGGCACAGTGATGCAAGCCTGTAATCCCAGCAATTTGTGAGGCTGAGGCAGATGAATCACTTGAGGTCAGGAGTTCAAGACTAGCCTGGCCAATACGGTGAAACCCCATCTCTACTAAAAATGCAAAAATTAGCCAGGCGTGGGGATGTGCGCCTGTAATCCCAGCTACTTGGGAGGCTGAGGCATGAGAATCACTTGAACTCAGGAAGCAGAGATTACAGTGGGCCAAGATCATGCCATTGCATTCCAGCCTGGGCAACAGCCAGGCTCCAACTCAAAAAAAAAAAGAAAAGAAAAGAAAAGAGAAAGAAAGAAAGAAGGAAGGAAGGAAGGAAGGAAGGAAGGAAGGAAGGAAGGAAGGAAGGAAGGAAGGAAAGGAGAGAGAGAGAAGAAAGAAGAAAGAAAGAAAGAAAGAAAGAAAGAAAGAAAGAAAGAAAGAAAG